ATGTTTGAGGCCCAAACAAGTATTCTTCATTATGAGCCCCAAAATTGGGTTGGTTTTCCCATCTGTTTTCAGAGAGTAACTTTAATAATGCCCTTGTACCCAGAGGACTCTCTGGGTTGAGGTTTCTTAGTAGTGTTGAGTTGTTTAGGCTATTGTACATTTGATGATTTTTTTCTTTTTTTTTTTTTTTGGTGGTACGGGGAATTGAACTCAGAACCTTGTGCTTGCGAGACAGGCAATGGAACCACTGAGCTAAATCCCCGGCCCTGCACTCATTTATTCATACAGGAAATTTATTGAGTGCTTGCTCTATGTCAGGTGCTGTGCTAGGCAAGAGGGATTCAAAGATGATTACAGCCCAGTCCCTGCCCCAAGGCACTCACTGCACTATGATGCCTGAGGGATCCGCTTTGGCTCATGCTTGTGCCTCCGCATTCGGGGGAGCTTTACCTGCCAAAGGCTTTATCCCTTTACAGAGTGAATAGCAAGGGAATCTGCCAAGGACTGGCTCTGATTGGCTGATCATCCTAAGAAGCTCATGGCCGTTGTGCCCTGATGGCAGGGGACACCATATATGGTTTGGCAGCTGCCATGCTAACACAAGCCCTCATTTTCCTGAAATGATTTAGAAATACCTTGGGAATCCTCTCGGGAAAATTGGGTTGATATAGTACAGTGATGAGTTGGCAGCATACTTTTTTTTTTTAGTCAGCAAGAATTTCATCTGTCGTCTTCTCTGCCAAGCCAGACCTACTTGGCCTGGTGCTGATAAGGGTTGTGAAGATGGTGAAGATAGTCCCTCCCAGCTGTTGTTTTAATGTCCTGCTTCTTCAGGATGGCCTCGTGCTGGGTCACACCTCCCTGGACCCATAGTGTTGGCAATTTCAAGTTGAGTACAAATATCCTCTGCAAGACAGGATACATATTAAAGCAAAGTTGGGAGGAATGCATAATTTGCCAAAGTAAATCTTGTGCTTTTTATAAATTGGGAACTTACTTTTGGAGGTTTGGGGATAGGCTGAGTTGGAGATTGTGGTTTGAAAATGAAAAAGATGTTTCCTATTGTCCTAACCGTTAAAGGTACTTTTACTGAGAACTCGGTTGTTGTTTTTTTTCCCTACCCTCCTTCAGTTTAAAGTAATTTCTCTTTACCTGGTAATTCCTTAAATCTTGTCTGTACTTCCCAGAATACCTCCTTCGCTTGTAACTTTACATGTGTAATGTCCAGTAGACTTGTGCATCAGAATTAAGAACATTGTAATAACAACATCAACTGAAGCCCATGGTTCATTGAGACTCAGAGTTGTCTTTTTTTTGGTACCGGGGATCAAACTCTGGTCTTTGCGCCTTTGAGGCAGGCGGCAGGTGGTAGAACCACTGAGATAAATCCCTGGCCCAGAGTTGTCTTCTTGATGTGACTCTTAGTTCAGACTGGGGAGAGGCCATTTCCAAATTGGAGTAGGGATAAAGCCTTGGGACTAGGAGTGAAAATAGGTGTAGTTTAAAGGGCTCCACCCACCTCCATTCACTACCACCAGATGAGCCATTCTCTGAGTAATCTGTAAAGGAAACATCAAGGCCTAACATTCTGAGATGTGAAGGAATGATTGACACTTCTGACGGTTCAAGTCTTTACCATTTCACCAAAGAATAAGCTTCATAGGACTACCTGCCACTACGTATGTAAGAGACACTGAATCTGCCAAATTATACATGTTAGACAGATGTTTCTTAAATCTGAGATTGCCATTTCTAGAAAGTTAAAGTTTTTGCTTTACTGAATTCTGTTAATCAGGGGGAGGCTCTGTTAAGAGTCAGGTCTTGAGCTGGGGATTTAGCTTAGTGGTGCCACTCCTGTCTTGTAAGTGCGAGGTACTGAGTTCAATCCCCAGTACAGGAAAAAAAAAAAGTCAGGTCTTAACAGTGTTTACTTCTCCTGTGGGAAGCCATGCTGTGGTCCAGAGCAGCTGAGTAGCTAGTGTGGCAGAAGTCACTCTGCTGCTTGAGTGGAGTATAAAAGCCAGTGTACACTAGTCCCAGCCTCAGAGATGAGCCCATGTGCTTTATTTTCCTTGCAGTGTCTTGTATGCCTAAGAAGGAGTCCAGGTTCCTGAACTTAGTAAATTCATATAGACCCCATTTTCCTTTTTTCCTCCCTCTAGATTCACATGCTTCTGGTTTGACTTTGGCCATTTCTCACATAAACTGTCATGATTACTTTTGATGATGAACTGTCATGGTTACTTTTGATTTTTTTTTTTTTCTGTGCTATATGTGCCTTACCTTCATTGGAGGAGCTGTGAAAAGTTGCAATATTTGAAGCATGGATTTTATGTTTGAGGCCCAAACAAGTATTCTTCATTATGAGCCCCAAAATTGGGTTGGTTTTCCCATCTGTTTTCAGAGAGTAACTTTAATAATGCCCTTGTACCCAGAGGACTCTCTGGGTTGAGGTTTCTTAGTAGTGTTGAGTTGTTTAGGCAATAATGAAGAGGGTATTAACTTCTCATTCCTACCCCCTTGGTAGTCCTACGGGCTCAGTCAGAGCTCGAACAGCTTTCTCTTGACTCTTCCTTCCAGACCACACCCGTGACAATGCAGGTTGGAGAAGGCCAACAGGTACAGATTGTCCAGGCCCAGCCACAGGGTCAAGCCCAGCAGGCCCAGAGTGGCACTGGACAAACCATGCAGGTGATGCAGCAGATCATCACTAACACAGGAGAGATCCAGCAGATCCCGGTAAGCCTTCCCCCAGGCCTGAATGGCTCCCTTCTCAGCTGATTTCATATATCATCTTACACCTACACTCACTTCTGTGTGCATGTATGTGTGTATGTGTGCGCGTGTGTTTCTTTTGTTTTTAATCTATATTCCCACTATGCCCTTCCCACCTTGCTTCAGTGTGTCTACTTTTCACTTTGCTTTAATCCAGGTTCAGGTTCACCACTGCATAGAAGAACCATTTGAGCAGCTTCTCGAAACTTGCCCTCGCTCCACCCATGCAGAGCAATCATGGTAGTCACTATCTCATGCCAAGGCTCAAAGGCCCCATGAGGCAGTCCTATCTTTTGATTAGCAGAGAATAAAAGGGAGGTGTATAGGTCAGGCCATAAATATACTTGTTGCAAGTTCATGAATCAGTTCCCAGTGGAGCATGCAGCAAAGTATATTTTTTGGCTTTTATTTAACTTACCCTTTTTTTCACTCTAGACTACTGTTTCCTATGTGTCTTGAGAGATTTGTCAGTTTTTTACTTAAACTTGTGCTTTATTAAGGAAAAAAAAATCATTGTCCTTACGCTTGCAGGCTTAACACTTTTAGTCATTTTCCCACTAAAAGCTGGAAAATAAGTGACATGGAGCTGTCCTTTATGAAATGTAGGCTCCTATAAAAGCTCACTTGGACCTGTTGGCCACTTCTTTGAAAAAAGCTAAAAAATTATCCTCAGCTCTGTTTTAAGTACTTTTCTTCCTCTTAAGTTACAGAGTAATGGATCAAGAGAAGGCTTAGGAAAGTGGTTTGTTTCTGTCTGTGTCTCTTTCTATGATACACACAGCAGCAATTCCAAGTGACTTGGTTCTGCCTTGCCTCATTGTTTCAGCCACCAGCCCCAAGACCTCGCTCTTGAATGATTCTTACTTTTTCATGTGAAGGCACCAAAACAAGGTCATTAAAGCCAAAGAAGACTCCCTACCTTGCAGTAACTTTAATCCTTTGTGGCACCAAGCTTTAGCCCAGATTGTTGCAGAATCTACAACCTCATGCTCACTGGTCTCAATATATGCTCAGGAGCCTGCATTTCCAGACTCTTCAGCTGCTCAGCAGAGTGCTTGTAATAGTGATAACCTTCAGGACAGAGACTTTACTTCCCTTGATGCCCAATGAGTAGGCTTATTTGCACTGTAATTAAAAGACTGTGAAGAGCATCAGACCTGCCCTGTCTTGGAGAACTAAGGTTCAGCACATCAGCAGGTGACTTGACCTAAGCCTAAAAAGAAAAGCTCCTCACTTCTATCTCTGAAATGCATGGAACCATTTGGGTCATGGCTTTTCTGTCACATTGGGGTTTCTGCAAAGGTCTCTTCCCAGCCAGAAAATTTTAAATCCCTGTGGCTATCAGTGTATTCCCCCACTCCTGGGACAAGACCATAGTCTTTCATTCTGGGTGCCTGGGCTGGAGTTCTGGTGACTTCTGGGACCAGCCACTATGAGTCTCAACAGATGTGGTTTCCCAAGTCTCAACCCAACTGGTTTAGTCCCCAGTAGCAACTTAATGTTGTAGCCTAGAAGCTGCATTATAGGATTTGGTTGGAAATGTATGCTTGGCACCACAACTTCCCAACAGCTCCTCTTGGCATAGTCTCAGGAAAGAAATGACTATAAGTCACAGTACTCTTGCCCTGTTTCCTCTGAACCAGGTTCTTAATGGGTTTAGGTTTTGCGTCCCTGCATCTTGCCTCCAACAGACGCTTCTGGAATGTTCTGCCAAGAATTTCACAGTTTTTTTTCAGTGATTTGAATCTTTTGGGGGCAGAAGTTTCAGAGAAGTGTTTGATTTACCACTGTATCCAGGAGTGCAGCTTCATCCCTGCAGCACGCTCCTCGTGGAAATAAAGTTTCTGTGGCGAAGTTAGTGCTTTATGGCCAGGATGTGATTTGCTGTAGCCCAAGCAGTTTTGCCTATCGGCCTGAAGAAGCTTTTCCTTTCAACAGAGCCAGGCTGGGCAGCCAGGAAGCTGGTTTCTGGGCCCCCTAGGTAGGCAGTCCTGTGCCCCCAGGGCTTTTCAGCCCCTAAGCCACTGGTGTGAATGTCTGTTGTCCATCCTGTGCTGCCTGCTGTCTGCTGAGTGATAGCTCCTCACGTTGTAATTATTGCCTCTGTCCTCCCTTTATCCACAGCTCCAAGCACTAATACTTTCATGGCACACTGGAGCGTTAAGAACCTGAGTTAAGGCTTTCAGCACACAATTAAATGCAGTCTGTGGTATTATTGTATTATCTGAGACTTAATCGTAAGCATGAGGGAGTTTAAGGGCACTTTTGTAGCTTCGGTTTCCTGTGATGGGGTTTTTCTGTGAAAGGTTTATTGATTCTGCTTTCCCAGGGGGGAAGTGTTTGGCCAGAAGCTAGTGCTGAACACCAAGGATCTTCAGAGTCCCACAGACCCTCATTGGTCCTGGCTCTTGGGGACAGAGATAATAAAAACAGACCAGCCTTTTCCTCCACAGTGTGCAGTGTAGAATTGGGCAGTACTAGGGCTATGATGCAAAATGCTAGTCATCTGCTTTGGGTTCTTGACAGAACTAGAACTCTGTACAATCTCAGAAAGTGTGGAGATGGAGAGAAAAGAGGCCCACACTTGAGGTACAGACATTCTGATAATGTCAAGGCTGTCTTTAAGACAAATTCTTTAGATGAGCTGTGATCAAATAGTCAGGAGCCCCCAGTTGATGAGCATACAGCCAAGCTGTTCTCACATATGTCACAAGATCTTCTGGGAATGTTTTTTCCAAGTCCGTTCAGAGAATATATCATTTGTATTGTGTGACTTATAGGTGGGAGTGTTGTTATGTTGTTTATATTGACCTCTGTTTAAAAGGACTTTTTCTTAAGAGGGCTTTTGAGGTAGAAGGCAGTCAGCCTATCTGGTCATGGGAAGCTTGCCTGTGTGAGATTGAATTCAGCCCCCTGTGGTCTCTTTGTCTCTGCCCCTGACATAGGTACAGCTGAATGCCGGCCAGCTTCAGTATATCCGCTTAGCCCAGCCTGTATCAGGCACCCAAGTTGTGCAGGGACAGATCCAGACGCTTGCCACGAATGCCCAACAGGTATGTACCAGAGAGACACAGGGCTTGAGTTGGAGACAAGCAGCAGCTGGCTGGCTTCTGGTTGGAGAGGAGTGCTTCAGGACACAACTCTTGCCACTTCATCCTTCAGCAAGGGCCACCCACCCTTATACCCCAGTCTGTTCTGCTGCCCAAGAACAGATGGGGGTAATTGGAAGATTGGATTCAAAGGGTGTCTCACATTAGATTTGTTCTCAAGGGCCAAAGAGAAACACAAACCAGAGGAAGCTGTGAGGGTACCTGAAAGAAGCCTGATGTGTGTACATATATGTCAGGCCGGAGAAGCTTAATCCTTAGGCTGCATTTCCATCTTTAAATCCGAGTGGCTATGGTGTTCTGGCACTTTCTGTTCCCTCTAGAAAACTTCAATCTTACCCTACCTCTCCACCCACCCCTGGCCAGAAAAGTCTCCCCTCATCTCCTCCCCTGCCCTACAGTGTTGAAAGCTGTGAGCACAGAGTCGAGGAGTCTGCCCCCAGCCCTGGAGGATTGAGGGACATGGACATCCTTTGCAGAGGTTGGGGGATTCTGGTCAAGGGGAGGCATTTAATGGATTCTTCTGCCTCAGACCCAAAAAAAGCAGCGATCGTTTAAGAGCTGGACCCGTCTGGCCCAGTTGCATTTCTGGTGATGCATCTATTGACAGTGGTGACAGAGCTGAGTTTGTGAGCAGGTCTCCAAAGATCTCATTTGGGAAAATTGGAGAATTGAGCCAAAAGTAAGGCTTCTGAGTTCCATGTAGTCTCTGGGATCATTAAAGGGCCCCTTTCTTACTCCCTGCTCATCTGTGGATTTGGGCTTTTCCTTAGTTTTCCTTGGGGCTCAGTGACACTGATTCACAATTTAAGACTGGCCACACCTTTGGGTCCCTCTCTCTTTACAAAATTTTTTTCAGTTAGATGTGGTGGTGCACGCCCGTAATCCCAGCACTCAGGAGGCTGAGGCAGAAGGAGTGCTGCGAGTTTGAGGCCAGCCTGGGCTACATCGTGAGTTCAAGGTCAACCTGAACTGCATACCGAGACCCTGTCTCAAAAAAAAAATTTTTTTTTCCAAACCTTGTAAGATTCTTCTTGAGAGTCCCAAGGCTTTTTATGGCATGGGAATGGGAAGGAATGAGACAGGTTCTTGGTTTCTCAGCGGTCACTTAGGGGACAGAACTAAAGCCAGAAAATAGAGTTGGGAAAAAAGGGAGATAGGCCAGAGGGCAGTTAAAATCTCCACAACAACATGTAATTGTGACAACCTGCCATTTAGTAGGTGCTCAATAAATGTTGAACGAATGCCAAACAAATAATATATGTGTGATTTAAAGGTAAATGAGACTTTCTTTTCAGCTGCTGTAAATGGCAGTCCTGCTGGCCATGTGGCCCAGTTAACCTTATTTATAAGGAGAAGTTCCCATTTGTCTGAGGCTCATTCATTTATTTTGCAGACATTTCTTGAATACTTACTTTGCACTGGAAGTTTAAGGACAAAACAGCTCCTGCCCTCAAGCAGTTTATAGACCTGTGGAAGAAAGGCCCAAAATGAGCAACAGTAGTACAAAGTTTATATGAAGTCCTTTGTTACCTGTCCCCTTTCTTGCTTCTCTTAGCCTCCTGGGTAGGCCTTGCAGGGCTTGTTTTTGGCTGTCACGAGGATACTCAAGAGCACAGGCCTTACCTTGCAGGTTGGCTGTGAGCATTCCAGGAGCTGGTACAGAGTCCATTGCCAGTCAGATGTTCCATACACTCACACGTGCACAGGCTCTGGTCTTTGTAGTTTATCAAAAGTTGTCCTCAGCAGTTGTCAGCATATGCTACGATCTACATGTCAGTAAATTTATTTTAAAATCCCCACATTTGATTTTAAGTGCATGTGCTGTACGTGGCTTGCTTGCTGTACCTGCTGTCCCTCCCCCTCCCCCTCTCTTCCCTTGGCCCAGAGTGCTGCACGTTGCCTCTCGGAAAAAGTACTTCACAAGTTTGCCATGAGGACTGCCAAGGCCACTGTTTGCCAGGGTGTTTCATATTCCACTCAGATAATCTGAGTGATACGGGTTTGGTTTGGATCCCACCTTCTAAGATGAAAGGGACCATTCACCACTTTGCCCAGCATTTTAAAATCTACCTTCATTGGCTGAAAGATGCATTCTTAGGGCTTCTACCCAAAACCATGTTACACATTCTCTTGTGAAAACCAAGGAGTTAAGTATTCTCCTTGAGGTGACGGGTGATTGCAGGAGGAAGAGTACAATAAGAGGTACTAGAAGTTGTCTCATACATGCTCCAGGTTCTGTGTGCTATGTGGTGCCAACTGTTTGGGTAACCATCAGTGGTAGGAAGTGGGGGGCGAGGGGGCTTGATTTCCAACCCTCATTGAGCACCTGCTCTGTGCTAGGCCTCATTCTGGGCACCGAATAGGCATTGTCTTATTTGGACTTTGTGGGTGGTGGACTGGTGGCGCAGACCCTGCAGCTGACATTCCCACTCTGTCATTTTGCATCCCACAGATCACACAGACAGAGGTCCAGCAAGGACAGCAGCAATTCAGCCAGTTCACAGATGGACAGGTAGGATACCCAGTTTGGGCAGGGTCAAAGGGCAAGGAGTTGTGGGGAACAAGGTCACAGGTGATATGTGGGTTTGGATGATTAGAGCAACTAGCCTGTCCTCTACTGACAATGAATAGACGGAACTTGCTGTAAAAGGTATAGTCTTTTAAGTCAAGGCATGTATCCTTTAGATTTATAGACATCTGGGAACTCAAATAATCTTAAACATTATGTTGCCCAAATTGCCGTTTTACGGATGAGTAAGCTAAGCTCTAGAGGTAGGAAGTGCCTTGTACATGTGCTCAATCAGCTGTTCATTGCAGAGCCAGAGCCAGATTAGAATGGAAGTCTCCTGTTTCCCCCCTTTTTTTTCCCCTAAGCCATGATGCTTTGTAATAGCACATACAGTTAGTTAAAATGCAGACAACCTATGGCTGGCCTCCTGTGGTCTCTGGGTGCCTGGAATTCAGTAATTCTAAATCCATTTAAGGAAACTTCCTTTTCTTGCTGCTTTTCCCTTTAAATACTGGGACCTATAGGACGATGAATCCAAACTTGTGTTCTTTGCTGCCCTAAAGGGAAAAGAACTAGCAGTGGGGCCCCCTCTGACTTCTGACAGTCCCAGGTGTCAGACTTTTATGCCAGGGCTCCTATAGGTGGGGGTCCTAGTTTTTGGTTTCTTTGGGAGCCTCTGAGAAATCAAGAGGCCAGGAGGGCCTAATCTTAAGGGCCATGAGAGCTTTGTCACCCATACGGGGTTGGTGTTTAACACCAGATCGCCTCCTTCACAGGCCCTGGGTAGGAAATCCAGGTGCAGTTCAGTGTCAGCCTGAGCCAGGTATGCAGAGGAAAGCAGGCAAGGGGGTAATCACTACTGCCCCGCCAGTGAGGAGTGCCAAGACTTGGGGAAATGCTGACTTCCAAGCTGCTGGTACACTAGTCAAATTGCTTGTGTTTGTCGCAGAGGAACAGCGTGCAGCAAGCTCAAGGCTCTGAGCTAACAGGAGAGGCAGAGCCCAGAGAAGTGAAAGCCACAGGAAATGCAGCTCCCTGCACCTCCTCCCTGCCCACCACACATATACCCCCTCACACCAGGCTGGTGCCTCCTGTGTCTGCTGCTCCCAGCCCCAGGAGAGCCCCACATCCCCTACTCCCTCTGATGCCTTCCAGTGGGTGGTGGTTGAGGTATCTTGGGGCCCCCAACCAGCTTAAGACCCATAGGAAGCTGCATCCCCTTCTCCCAGGAGTGACCTCATTCTCTCCTCTCCACCCCTCGCAGCAGCTCTACCAGATCCAGCAAGTCACCATGCCTGCAGGCCAGGACCTCGCCCAGCCCATGTTCATCCAGTCAGCCAACCAGCCCTCTGAAGGACAGGCCCCTCAGGTGACCGGTGACTGAGGGCCTGAGTGGGCAAGGCCAAGGACACCCAACATAATTTTTGCCATACAGCCCCAGGCGATGGGCACAGCCTCCCTTCCCAGAGGACCCTGACGACCTCAGCACCTCCTGCAGGCTAGGACACTGATGCACTACACCCTATGCCTGGGGACCGAGATTCTCCAACAGAAAGATGGAATATTTTTAATTTCCTATTTTCCCCCCAAGGAATTAATAATTCATTATGTTGATCTGTGTGTCCAATGCTATGAAATGAGAATATTAAATAACGTATTTATGGCATTTTCTTGAAGTGTGTAGTTAGAGAAATACTTTTTCTTTTTCTTTCTTTTTTTGGTTCTCATTGCCACTTCTCTTAGGAGCAGATCTTCCTAGGGGTGCATGAGATTTTCTGACTCTTGGAACAGCTGCTGCCCCAAGATTTGCCACCATGTTCTGCCCTCAGACTGAACTAGTGAATGTGTTAGCTTCTTTTTTTACTAGTTCAATTCCCACCCCCAAGCTCACCCCTGAGCTTGCATCCAGAGGCCACGGAAACATTCCTTGTGCTTAGGAGATGAACTCATTCCCCACGGAGAGTAGATGGTTTCATCCCCACAGCCTTCTCTCCCAGGGACCCAAGGAGATTAGAACTTTGTGCATTTTGCCCCCTCTCAATTTCACTTTTTAAACACATTAAAAATTGTGCTAGTCTCCTTTTCTGCATGGACTTCAAACTGCATGAAATGCAATAAACCTCATTTTTGATACTCTAGAGTTGGTTTCTGTGTATGGGGACATCATGGGCCACTTTACTTACAAAAGACTTGGAAAGGTTTGTTTGTCCTCAGTTTGGGTATCTGAAAGAAGAGGCACCCTTGTGAGGAGGGGTGTCCAAAACTAAGGGCACTTTTACACCATATATGTTATCCAGACTGAGGTCCTTGGCTGGTTTTACAAGCAAGCTTCATCAGAACATGTCTGCTGCTCAGAAGTATGCAGCTGCCTGACCTAACTGGACTACCACACATGTCCTCCTTGGTTGAAGGCCAGGGGGTTCTCTCTCCTAGAAAATGCTGGCCCTGTCCTGCAAACAAGGGCCAGGGCAAATCCCTCTAGTCTTCCCCGTCATAGGCTGGGCCTGAGTTGCTGCTGTGGCCATGCTAACTACCAGAGGCTTGGCATCTGCCATGAAGGGTAGCTCAGTCCTTTTGTCAGCCAGCAACTCATGGCTGCTAGAGCCAGGGCCTGCTTCCTGACTTTGGGATCAGGGAGAGCAGAAAGTCGCTGGTGGGCCATCTTTCTAACCTCCAGCATGCATCTTTATAGCCAGAGTGCAGCCTGTGGTTGTGGGAAGAACAGTGAACTGGATGCCAGAAAAAGAGGCATTTTGCCATAAAACCATGGGCAACTTGCTGCCTTTGGGATTGTCGAGTGAGGGAGGAATGAGGAAGAAGCTTACATTACAGTTTCAGGCCTAAGCCTGATGCTCTTAGGATTCCCTCACTTCAGACCACAGTGGCAGAACATGAATCGGTGTTCAAGAGCTAGAAAAGACTCATGCAGTACCACTGTCCTCTGTTCATTCTTCCTCCCAGACTTCTTAGGCCTGGTTAAATATCTTGCCTAGATTTAGGTCTGCCCACTTCTGCCCTTTACTTGGGCTGTTGGATGTCTATGTCATGTCTGTGTCATTCTATTCCACTTAAGTACTTACCTCATTCCACGAGATAGTTGAGATAGCCTGCAATGAAAACAGCACAGGGCCAGGGATTTAGCTCAGTGGTTGCACCGCCTGCCTCGCAAGCTGAGGACCCGGGTTTGATCCCCGGTACCAAAAAAAATAAATAAATAAAAAACAAGAACAAACCAGCAAAACTTACACAGTTGTTAGAATGATTTGATGGTAAGCTTCCTGGTCACCAAAGCAGAGAGATGGAACCAGGTAAGATTCATTCACAGCATAAAAGGAAGAAAACTAACATTGTTTTCCTACTACAAAGTTTTGGGCACATAGTACTCTTCCAGTGTCATGAGGGGAAGTAAAGCGGGTGACACTGATGTGAGAAGTCAGTAACTGCCCCTGTAACACAGTGAGTTGGGGCAGCTTCCACCAACTTGTAAGTTCTGTATGCAGTTACCATCCTTCTAGCCATCGACTTGTCTTGAACGGAAGTCCTTGGGCCTAAGCACCTGTCCTGTATGCAAATGCATCTCAGTGAGACACCATATGATCAGCAAGTTCGGGCCTGGGATTTAGCTCAGTGGTTCCGCTGCCTGCCTCGCAAGCACAAGGTCCCGAGTTCGATCCCTGGTACCCCCAAAAAATTCAATAATCAGCAAGTTCTTTCGGACTGCTTTGTTCCCACCCTTGCGTGGAGAGAACACTAGAGAGAAAAAGTGAGCCAGCAGTGGGGCTCAGTCTCAAGAGAATGCAGGAGCTCTACTATCTCATTTCCTCGTGCCCTCTGTCCCACCTTGCTGCTCTTCCACACATTCCTGAAAATCCAAGCGTAATTGGAATTTTAGGCCAGTTGATGGATCCCCATTTTCCCATAGTCTGTGGCATAGACTCATTCTTGTTTTGAAGATGTTTCGATCAATTGTGATTGGCAAGCAGTTTCTCTGCTGAGCACGTTCCCTTTAAATTGCTCTGCCAGCAAGGCCCATCCTGGTGTAAACAAACCCTTTGGTGCAGCCCAAGAGAGCCCCTATCTAATACTCAGCACGATCCCCTTACATCCGGAGCACTCTTTAAACATTTTCCCTAGCATTTGTGGCATCCGTCCTGATGATCTTCACTGTGACCCTGCAGGAGAGAAAGGAAGAAGGATCAAGATCCCTGTGTTAATGATGGAGTCATGAGAGGCCTAGTGAAATGCAGTGATTTGCTCAAGGTCACTGTATTAATTAGGGTTGGAGTTAAAACTGGAAACTCATCCCCTGTGCAGGCACAGTTGCTCTCTAGCCAAAGTGGTATGTGTGTATGTTAGAACACACCTATAATCCCAGCTGCTCAGGAAGCTGAGGCAGGATAACGATAAATTCAAAGCCAGCCTGGACAACTTAGCCCCTGTCTCAAAAATGTAAAAAGTGAGGAGATGTAGCTCAACACTTACATCCAGGGTTCAGTCCCTAGTATTGGGGGTGAGGTACTAAAGGTGGGCCTTTTCCTTTTACTCAACCTCCCAGAATTCACTAGCCCTGCCCTATATATATGTGGAATAAGTAAAGTAATTGGGTCCAGTCAAGGGACAGCTGGTAGTTGGAATAACTCTCCAGGAGCCTGATGCTGGAGGTTGGAGACCCCTGGGATTGTGAGCGGAGGACCTGGCTGGGTTCCTTGCTGCACAAGTCTTCCAAGGCCACAAGGGGGCAGCATGCAACACTTGGCACAATCAGGGAGATGCCCTGCCCCACCCCCATCTCAATTTGAGACAATTGTAGGAACTGAGAGAGTGTCCCTTTTCTCAGTGGATACGTCCTTAGCCCCCTTCCTAATAAGACATTCACCCTTTGAAGAGAGGAGTCTCTGTGGGATGACAGTGAGTGTTGGAAGCTTTGGGCTCCACAGTACATGTTGCATCAAGATGGGGGTCAGATTTTAATAAGGACTTTCTGACAGCCCAGGTTTCTCCAAGGTTCTCCGTATCTCCTCAACTCGCTTTCCTCCCACTCCACCACCCCCATGCACTCTATGCTCCTGTCACACCCAATTACTGGTTCCTAAACTCACTTCCATGTTTTCAGAATGTGCTAGCCCCAATGCCTGGAATGCCGTTTCACTCCCCTTTTCACATATTGATCTCCTATACATCCATCAAGGCTCAATCTAAATGGCTCTTGCTAAGAAATGTCTAATTTCTGGGGCAGAGTCAGCGAGGATCTCTTCGATGCTCCCGTATCAACTTCTTCAAACTATTATTAGAGCTCATATACATGGTCATTCAGCAAATATTTCTTTGGCACCTTCTGTGAATAAGATATTGTTTTGGACATTCTGAAAACAGCTGAAGATAAGCCAGATGAAGGTGCTATTATGGAGCTCATATTGGATATTGAGTTGGAGATGGGGATTGGTTGGGAATGAGTGCAAAAGACAATAAACACTAGAACAAGTTGGGCTCTGAAGCAACTCCTTATCCCACTGATAGGAAGTTTCTCGTCTTGACCATCTTCCTCACAGGTGGCCCTGCAGTTCAGGGTCGCCTCTGTACCTGTACAGCAGGGCACAGAGCCTGGCACCATGAGTGTCACAGTACGTGATGAGTGAGTGAACGAACACAAAGCCATCCCTGCAGCGGGACAGCAGGCAGGGCCTTCAGCATGTTGCACCCGGTCCACCTCTGCTCATCTGCTTTACCATGAGTTTTTCTTTAAGGATTTTTTTTTTTGTTATTCTGTTTTGTTTTTGCACTGATAATAGGCTAGGCAGGAGCATTAGAAATTATCCTTTTAAGAAATTGCTGTGTAGAAAAATACAGCTCAATGGGAGGGGGATTTAGCTCAGTGGTGCCAAGGTCCTGAGTTTGGTCCCCGGTACCGCAAAAAACAAAACAGCTCAAGCTTGGTGCCTAAATGGCTTCTCATTTCCTCTTCACATCCTCACTAAGTAGGTATTCTCCCCATTTTATTTTTATTTTTATTTATTTATTTTGGTACCAGGGATTGAACTCCGGTCCTTGTGTTTGCACAGCAGGCGGCAAAACCACTGAGCTAAATCCCCGGTCCCTTCTCCCCATTTTGTTTTCCTTCTTCCCACTTTATAAGCAAGAAACTGAGGTTCAAAGAGGTTAAGAAATTGCCCAAGGCCACCAGCTGATTGAATGGAGCCAGATGCTCCAAAAAGCCTCCTACCTGAAGTGTCCCAGTGGCTCAGCTCCCATTCAGTCTATTCTGTTCAGGAAGGACCCTCCCTCACAAACTTCTGGATAGAGACTGAGCATTTGTCCCACAGCTCCAGTCATCCCTAGGCCTCTGTAAGATGACATCTGACCTCTCTAGAAGAGAGGACCCCAAGGTGGAAGCCAGTGATCAGGAAACTTGGACATGGTCTCCTCAAGGCCCTCGGAGACAGCCAACGTTAACTCTATTAAGTTTCTTTTCACATTGCCAGGCTGGTGGTGTCAGCCCTAACTTGGGTGCTATGTCACTACCACAGCCCAGGAAAAGGGGACAGGAGGACAGTAAGGCTGGCACTCAAAAGGGTGAACCTGAGCTGGGCCCCAGCTGGGCCAGGCTGGGCTGGCTGCACTCCTCTGTCTGCCTGGTGCTGAGGTAAGATCTGAAACAGAGCCCCAGCTTGCCCACAGGCCTGAGCCTCTGCCCCTCCTCCGAGGCCTGGCCTCCGCTGAGCCCCAAGACACCTCTGTGAGCTCCTAACTCCTCCCAAGTCCCTGTGCTTCTCTCTCTCAGTGAAGGTGTGTGAGACAGAAGCTTTCTAAGATCTCATATGTGTCCAAATGTCTTTATTTTGCCCTTTGATTTAGATGACAGTTTGGCAAGACAGGAAATTAAAGGTTCACAATTATTTGCCCTCAGCACTCTGAAGATGCTCTTCCATTGTCTTTTGGCATCTGTTGTTGCTGATGAGAAGTTTACTGTCAATTCAATTATCGGACCTTTGTAGATAAGCTTTCTTTTCTCTCTGGTGGCCTTTAGAATTTCCTGTTTATTCTTGATATTCTACACTTTGACTACAAGGTGTCTAGATATAATTTTGTTTTGTTTTGAAAGATCTCTTACTAGGCAGTCTGGGGTGGGCCTTCTAAAACT